CGCGGCCCCAAAAGGAAAACAGAACTTTCATTCCCAGCAGCCCCTGAGAAGGGCAGTCTAATCAGTCATAATGGACTTGCCTCTACCCCAGCCTTCCTGCAGGGAGCCCTGCGGATCACAGGGGCCTATTGTGAGAAGAGAAAAAGGAAGCATTGAGGCAGGCGCCAGGCAACAGGGCAAGAAGGAAACACTTAAGCAAGGGGCCTTTAATTTTTATATAACTGCCCAGGAGCATATTTTATAGTCTCCTCGTGAGAGTCGGGCCTCATGCTGGCTGCAGACTCTGTGTGGTGTCCTGGGAGCTGATGCTGGGGGAAGCAAAGACAGTCCCTGACCTTGAGGGGAGTGGAGAAGTGGCCGAAGGCCGGCAGTCTGTCCTTCATTCAGCATCTGGCTAGTATGATAGCACTGTTTATTACCAGGCTTTCGTAAAACCATCTTTTCTCCGCTGGTAGCCTTCAGGGAAAGCACCCCCTAAACCAGGGGTGGGCAAACTTTTTGACTCGAGGGCCACAATGGGTTCTTAAATGAAGGCGGGCAGTCTGTCCTTCATTCAGCATCTGGCTAGCACGATAGCACCTTTTATTACCAGGCTTTCGTAAAACCATCTTTTCTCTGCTGGTAGCCTTCAGGGAAAGCACCCCCTAACCTCTGCCCACTTTCAGAGATGCTTTAAACCAGTGGTCGGCAAACTGCGGCTCGCGAGCCACATGCGGCTCTTTGACCCCTTGAGTGTGGCCAAGAAGTTTCAATCGCACTGTACGTGCGCACCCGCACGTGGTATTTTGTGGAAGAGCCACACTCAAAGGCCCACAGTTTGCCGACCACTGCTTTAAACAACCACCACCACCACCACCCAGATTTATTTAAATGCGGCGGGACAGTGTTCAGAGATGTCTTTCGCAGATGGTGGAGAGCAGAGTTGACTTGTTTTTTGGCAGAAGCTGTGCTTTTACTTCAGTCCTGCTTTGAAGTGAAACCACTTTCAGAGATGCTTTAAACAGCCACCCCTTTGGCGTCCAGGGCCCAGATTTATTTAAATGCTTCGGGGGACAGTGTTCAGAGATGTCTCTCGCAGATGGTGGAGAGCAGAGTTGACTTGTTTTTTGGCAGAAGCTGTGCTTTTACTTCAGTCCTGCTTTGAAGTGAAAATGTGTCTTGCTCGTCCTGGGTGTGGCCCCTCTTATCTGCACGGGGCAGGATTTATCTGCTCCCGGGGCACCAGTGAGCACATGCCCTGAGTTAGAGCTCTGGCCCTTATGTGGGGTGCTCAGGGCCCACGTAGCCGAGTGCACCTCTCTAAATTTGGTTTGTGTAGAGCTTCCAGGCCGGTCATTTTGGGAATATCAAGTTGTATTACCAGGCCTAGATTAGAAGCTTAGAGCTTCAAGATATAGAGTGAGAGGATCCCCCCCCCAAACACCCCAATTTTCATTAGCAATGGAAACCTTCAATGAAACTCTTTTCCAAAAGAAATCTTACCAGGAAGCTCATGTAACCAAGCAGAGCTGGATACGTGAGGATAGAAGTTCTGAGAACCTTTCTCATTTGTGCTTTTTCTCTCCCGGCCAAGCCCCCATTCTTGGAGTTTCCAAAGTATTCTTCTATGACCCTAATGGCTTCCCAGAACAGGCCATGAAAACCAAGGGTGTGATCTCGGGCTTTCAGATTCATGGATGTGAAACCCAAAGTCCAGGAGGTTCTCAGAGTTACCCCAGATCACTGTGGGGCAGTGGCAGAGCCGTGACTTATAACCCAGGTTTCATGATCCCCTGTTTAATACTCAATGTAGTTCCATTTCTGCCCTCATGTCCCCTCACCCCATCATGTTAGAGCTTCAAGTGCAAAGAGGCCCAGCTGTATTAGGACCCCACAGGGCTTGGGGCACGGGTGGCTGTGTCAGCTACCTGAGGTCTGCTCTAGCGTCCCGGCCTGAACATTGTCACTTACACCAGGAGTCGGGAACCTTTTTTCTGCCCAGGGCCATTTGGATATTTATAACATCATTCTTGGACCAGACAAAATTATCAACTTAAAAATCAGCCTGCTCTATTTGTTCAAACATTTAATTAACTCACCCCTAATGCCTTGGCAGGGGCAGACCAAATGATTTGTGGGCCTTATACGGGCCGAGGGCTCGACGTTCCCCTGCATTACACAGTGCTCATCAGGCAGGATGGGTGAACTCATTCTCATGAGAATGAAATCTATGAATGATTTATGCATGAAGAATTAAGTTCATAGCAGTAGACATATTTTTACAGTAGAGTATCTGCTTCTCGATTTGTGGGCCTTATACGGGCCGAGGGCTGGACGTTCCCCTGCGTTACACAGTGCTCATCAGGCAGGATGGGTGAACTCATGAGAATGAAATCTAGGAATGATTTATGAATGAAGAATTAAGTTCAGAGCAGTAGACATATTTTTACAGTAGAGTATCTGCTTCTCCAGGGCTTCTACTTTTATTTTTCTGCTGGTTAACTTCATTTCTGGTAGCCCTGGCTAGAGCAGAAGTCTGACTCCTGACTGAGTGGCCCAGTGCCCAGCGGGGTTCCTCTTCCGTCTGCTGCCCCCAGCCTTCCTGTGGCCGTGTCACTTATGGTCACTGCCTCCCCAACTCCTGCAGTGGCTACCCCATATTGATACAGGAGATCAGTGTCAATGCTAGTGGGGGATTGGGAAATACCAATGAATATAAAAGTCAAGAAATGACAGATTTCAGTTGCCATAGTACAATTTTCTTTTCACTTAAAAGTTTTCAGATCACCTATTGTCTGGCCTTTGTTGGCAGATGGACATTAAATGCAGCAAACTAGAACATGCAATAAATGTGCGTGCAGACATGCTCCGGCTCTGACGTCCTTTTGCTGAAGGCCTGAGACGGTCCCCAGTGTGCGGATTCTGGAAATAACTGACCATCAGTGGTCTCATTCCTTTCATCCTCACCGACTTCTAAAACGAGGCTAGTTTCCAAGGGGAGAAGCAGCACGTTCGGCCGTGCTGGCCCTGTTTGCACCGTGTGTGGGGGGAGCTCCAGATGTGATCTCTGAGCCACGACGACTTTCCTCTGATGTGGACACGACTTTTCCCAACCTTTTCCCAAGCATGCCTTCTTGTCCCCCGTTCTTCCCCGCCACGATCGGAGTATACACCCATTTAATGATTGCTCAAGGGGTATGGAACAAATGTGGATCTGGTGTGCACGCTTCCTCTCCATCAGCAGGGCTGAGGGGCCTCAGGTCTGCTGCTCCCCTGGCACAGTGTCAGAGACTCCACCCTGAACCCATCAGCAGAGATTGGCAGCAGCGCAGTGAGCAGGATGTCTAAACTTGACGGCCGGGCTGGATGGAGCAGAAGGAAGGGGCCCTTCTAGTTCTTACAGCGGGCGCGGAAAGTGGTCAGTCAGGGCCTTCTGTCAAGGTTTCCTGAAGCTGGGATCTATGTTGGCAAATGTTGTTTTGTGCATTTGGTTTCTTTTCATCACATTCATAGCAGCTGTAAATTGGAAAATATTTACGTCTATTTGTGTGTGTGTAAAGATTAAAGGTATTTCTATTTCAAAACACATGTTCTCAGCATGGATTTGTCTGTTGACAGAATGAATGATTTCTAAAGAAATGTATATACATTCAAAGCTCTTCATAATGTCTGTTTCAGTCCTGCCTACCAGACTAGTATAATGATTTGGGGGATCTTTACCCAGCATGACATTGATCTAACATTGCTTGTTCTGGATTTGATGCCATCTCTTTTATCCACAGGCTACCAGTAGTGTGTTTTGTTGCTGCCCACATGTGCTTTCCTCAGCCCTATAAAATTCTGGACACAGTTCCTGATTACTTGGGAATTACCTTATTCCTTGTAGCTATGCAGGGTCAGTGGACCAATCCCTGCTCCTTTCCTATGATAGCCAGTTATAGTAACTGTGTTTCAGTTTATGTGTGTTGTTAAATTCGAGGTTGAATGAATTGGAGAGTTAATGATCCAGCTCTCCAGTTTACAACTGGTCTTTAGGGCTCAGGATTTAATCAGCTAGTCCAGTAATTTTCAACCTTTTTCATCTCATGGCACACATTAACTAATTGCTAAAATTTTGCAGCACACCAAAACAATATTTTTTTTTGCTAATCTGACAAAAAAAAGCGGGGGTACAATTAGATTCATTCACACAGACGGCTATTGTTGTGTTAGCTATTGCCATTTTTATTTTTATTTGACAACTGAAGGGAAAAGAGACCAGTGACCCTGATTAAATAGTTAGGTATTGCATGGTTTAAAAATTCTTTCAGCACACCTGTTAAAAATTGCTGAACTGGTCTAATATTGTATAAGCTACTGTTTCTGAAATGCTGGTCCATCAACCATGAGGACTTTTTTTTAATAATCAATAAAATGTTTTTATTGATTTTAGAGAGATAGGAAGGGAGAGAGAGAGAAACATAGATGAGAGAAACACCAATCAGTGCCTCCTGGGGATTGAATCTGTGCCTTGACCACGAATTGAAACATCGACCTCTCAGTATTGTAGCTAATGCACCAAAATTACTTAATTAGCTTAGACATGATATCAAAAATATGAATTTGTTTTTCAAGGAATTTAAATACAAAATTTTTAAGATCTCTTAGCATGTCTGGTCCTGGTATTTCTGTAAAAAGGAGAACCCTGATGATTTTTTTTAATTACCATAAACAACATTCTGGTATCCCAAATGCAGGTTAAAAAAGTTGGTGGGTCATGCAAAGCTAACATGGGAAAGAACACACTTGATATGGACTTCAGAGTCTCAGGAGAACTTGCAAAGGAAACCCAGGATCATTGCGGGTCCTGGCTCACGTTGCTATTTGTGAGTTAACTAGCGCGGAAGAAAAGTAAATAGAGTGTGAGAGAGGGAAGAAAATAGGCATTCTGGAAATGATCATTAATGCTAAAATTTCTGCATCTAATTTTGGGATGCTTATGTTTGGAATTTCACATGCACGATGAAAATGTGTGTTTTCAGGTTTGTGGAGAAAAACAGCGCTTTGAGAAGTTGATGGAACATTTCAGGAATGAAGACAATAACATCGATTTTATGGTGAGCTATTTTTGTACTTCATTCAAGAAAACAAACTCAATTTCAGCACTTTTCCCTAAATCCATTGATATTTATATGTAGTATACATCCATATGTATGAGTATATTACAAAGGACAGGAAATTGAGCATAATATGCTACAGATCCAATCTAGACTGTCCCTCTTAATTTCTGTTTTCCCTCGATGGCATTTATTTCCAGTTTTATTCCTTCTGTGCACTCTATAGTACAAGCCAAAATAACTGGTTATTTACAGCAAATAAAGCATGAAGCATGCACCTGGGAAAAGGAAGGTAACGTGCATGGTGCATATGCCGCAGTCGCTAATGTTACTGTCAATGGTGCTGCATGGGAATCCTTAGGGCAGAAGCAAGAATCGGACCATTTTGCCTTCTGCACACCTGAGCCAGTGCCCTTCTCTAGACAATATTCCCAAGACTAAAGTGCTTTGGTTTGTGGAATTGACTGTATATATCCCCTTCATTAATGTACGGCAGTGGTTCTCCCTACTCTCCCCCCGCCCCTCTCCTGCTCTCTTTGCTGCTCTAGTAATTCTATGAAGGCATACCTGCACTGCAGATCCACTTACAGATAGTAGATCACGTGCAACAGCATGGGGCTCAGCAGGCTGTCATCTTCCAGAACTAAAAGGAGTTTGAGCACTTCTGAATCCATATGCCTGAGGCTCAATCCTGGACTGAAGGTGGACTCCACTCTAGAGAATTTCCTCAGACAGCTTCCTCTCGAGGGCACCCAGATTGGCAGGCCTTCTTTGACCTAATGCAGGGAGCTTCTGAACCCTGGGGGTCCTCACCTGGGTCCTCACCCAGGTCACTGCCAGCCCGGAGCAGACAGCCCAGTCATGTCCGACACTGTTGAGTCTTCTGAGCCTGTGCTCGGACACCAGGCAGGGCTTTCCTTGGAATTGCTTCAGTGACTGTAAAATATGGAGCATAGCTTTACAGATTCCTAACTCTTTTATGTAAAAATTTTTTTCTGGGTCCTTAAATTTAATAGACATCATGACCCTCAGCCCCTTCCAAAATCAGTGAGAAAGATGGACTCTTTTATAGAGGTTTTCTGTTCCATAAAGCAAAGATATATACATACACACACACACACACACACACACACACACACACATATGCCTTTTAAAAAGGTAAAAAGTGAATGTGAAACAAGGAATACTTTACATTGACTTTTTAATTCTTGTTAGTAGGGTTTTTTTTGCGTGTTTATGGCTGTTGGCACAGGTGATAAATGTGAAGAAGTGGTGCCTGGCTCTCCTGACTAGTTTCTTTCCTTGGCCTCAAGCGGGGAACTCACTTGTTCCTTTAAGCTGGGGTTGCAAACTGGAGGCTCCCAGGCTGGAGGCAACCTCCAGGCTTGTGAGTTAGTCTCCCAGTGATGTCCTTCCATACAAGAATTTGGAAATTATGCACAAAAATACAGATTTCTGATTGTCTTAAGCTAAAAATTTCTGACAACACGAGACCCCTATTCATGCAGAATAGCAGCTGCTAAAGCCAACTCACGCCTATTCCTTGTGGCTAAAGGTGTACTTTCCAGTTCGTCCCAGTCCACACCATTCCCTGTTCTGTTACATGCGGCCCACCTCGCTCATTTATCGTATGTGCGTACAGGATCTCTCTGCCATTTGAGTTTCTGCTAGAATGACTATAAGTTCTTTAAAACACCTGCACTGTTTACTAAGGAGAGCATGTTTCCTGTGAGCAAATTTATTCACATGCACATGCATTGAGGAACCTTATATGTATAGAGGTGCTGGTATATGGATCCTATGTGCTTGATGCATGCATCACCTAGCAAGCAGTTACCTCTCAGGCATGTTGTAAAACTCAGCAGATCATTCAGACCTGCTTTCAGAAGAGAAGTGGAAAGATGCCAAAAGCCAACCATATTTTTCCTCCAGAAAATGAGACTTTTCATAAACTGCAATTAAAAGGTATAACCTTCCAAAAGAAAACAAAAAACTGACCAAATCTTCTTTAGCTCATTTAACCACAGCACCTGAAGTCACTTGTTAATTAACTGCCATAGTGTCTTCTTGTCACCTAGAGCGGATGGATATCCAATGAATAAAATACTCAAGAATCTAATGTGACAAAAAATAATTTTGAACAGAGAAAGAAAATGAGGTTTTGGGGAGAGAGGAAGAGTGAGGTGGTTTTCGGAGAAAACGTGGATCTGGCTCCCATAATCATCTTACCTCCTTGCACGAGGCTCTGTTTAACTATGGAGGGAAAGCATTAGTGGGATATTTCCACCGTAAATAAACTGACTGTCACTATTAAAAGCAAAATAGGTCTGTTGAACTCTGTGCTGCTTTTACCAAACCGGGGACTGGTTTTTCTCTGTGGCTGGTCTCAGGGCCACTGATGCAGTTGCGGGTAGAGAGCAATGAATCCAAGGCTTCTGTGGAATGGAACCCGGTTCATTGTTCAAAGTGGAAAGATGGGTCAGGGATCCTGTGATGATCCCGTTGGGATGATGGGGTCCACAGTGAGGTTTCAGAGGTGATAATAAATCACCTGTGATTATAGGAGATTTGAATGCTTTTCTTTGTAATAATTTTCACATTTTCTACAATATATCTGTAATAATGTTCATTGTTTATTCTGTATACCTATAAGACTTTTTTAAAATGCCTTTACTGAGATATAATTAACATACTATCCAATTTACCCATCTAAACTGTACAAGTCAACACATTTTTAGTGTATTTGTGGGGCTGTGCAGCCATCACTGCAGTCTAATTTAGAAAATTTTGTCGCCCCCAAAAGAATCCTCACACCCATCCACAGTCACTCCCCATTTTCCCCACGCCCAGTCCTAGGCAGCTACTAACCTACTTCCTGTCTCTGTAGAGTTGCCTATTCTGGATACTTCATATGAATGGGATTATAATACATGTCATCTTTTGTGACTTTTTTCACTTATAATGAGTTCAAGTTCACCCATGTTGTAGCACATTTCAGTACCTCATTCCTTGTATTGTTGCATAATATCCCATTGTGGACATATCACATTTTTTTAATCCATCAGTTGATTGGCATTGTTACACACACACACACACACACACACACACACACACACCCATTTTAATTACTATGAACATTTGTGTAGAAGTTTTTATGTGGATGTGTATTTCCTTTCCTCTTGGGTATATTTACCTAAGAATGAGATTGCTGGGTCACATGGAAACTCTGTGTTTAACAGTTTCAGGCACTGCGACACTTTTCACAGCGGCTACACTATTTTACACCCCCACCCCCAGCAGTGGATAAGGGTTTTACCTTTTCCACATCCTTGTCAACACCTGTTAATATCTTTCCTTGTGATTATAGCCCTCCTAGTGGATGTGAAGTGGTATGTAATTATGATACCTATATGACTTTTGAATTTTTAAAAAATATGAAGTATTTTTTAAAGACCCAATAAAATGAACGAAAAGGAAATTGGTAAGCGAGCTCTGATGTGTGCAATTGAAAGCATATTTTATGATTAAAATGAGAAAACAAGCTTGGAACCCATCTAACCTGTTGGCGATTTCATTTCAGGTGGCCTCTATGCAGTTTATTAATATTGTAGTCCATTCAGTAGAAGATATGAATTTCAGAGTTCATCTCCAGTATGAATTTACCAAGTTAGGCCTGGACGAATACTTGGATGTAAGTAGAGTTGAAAGCTTCGGCTCTAATATAAGACCTGGTTTATTGCCTACCCTCAAAGATACACTTCCGCAGGGGCGAAAGAACACTTGTGGCCCTATGCCGTCCACTTACTGTACTGCTAGGTAAGAGGGAGCCACCTGAGGGGTGCAGTCTGCCAGAGAAGCTGGGTTCTTGCAGGCCTCCTGGGGCCTCCGCTGTCTTCGCCAGCAGCTTTTAGTACCGGAGGCAGAGAACCTCTCGTATACGGCCTTGCTGCAGCTCCCCTCTGCTTTGGAGATCTAGGGTCAAGTCTCACTGCACCCCTCATTCGGGCGGGCTGTTGGGAAATTCACATTCTTGGTTACTCTGGGGAACCTGATTGTGCAGGGAAGGTCAAACCCAGACTGCTGTCGAGCGATGAAAAATTCCTTAGAGCATACAAAAAAAGAGAGAAATGAACACTAGAGACTTCCTTGTGTAGTTGCTAAATTCTGCTGAAAATGTGGCGTTAGACGTTCTACTTTTAGTTCTTGGGACAAGAGGGTCTAAAGTGTCTCTTTCTCGTGCTTCCTTGCAGAAATGCTCAGCCACTTCCCTGAAGCCCTTCAGAAAGTTGATGTGAAAATTGTAAATGGACTTGAGTAGCTCCGTGTGCACAGAATGTACCCTTTCCTTGGACTCCTTGGCAGTTACACTTTCCATTCTAGATAAGAATGGTCCATTTGAACTTGGAAGGTCACTAGTGGTTGGGCAAGAATGGTTGGCCTCAATTTCAAGGCTGTTTCTAGTTATGAAGAAGATAGAAGCCCTTCCCCTGGAGCTCAGCTGCCCATCGTCCTCAGGGGTGGAGCCAGGGGATCACACATCGGTACCCTCAGTTTATTGCAAGGTGGAATCACAGAATCAGTTACTCTGCAGCTTATGGCCTTGCTCATCAGACCAGGAGAGACTGGCCTCATGTTGTCTAAGGCTCCTCAGAGACAGGCATGATCGGTTTCTACTGAAGAATTGCTTTGAATTGTTTTCCCATTTAAAGGTCCACTAATATCTTTGATAGGATAATGTACTGAAAGGTATTTTGAGATCGTGGTTTGTCTGTCTTTCCCCACGTGCTCTGAGAGGAGCAGCATTAGAACAGAATCTGGGTGTGGAGCTCCATAACGCTGCTCCGTGTTCAGTTTTGTGATGGCCACGCAGAGCTCACTGCAGGCTCTGGGTTACAGTGGCAGGTAGTAATGTCTTCAGGCTCCGTGTTCATTGTGAAATCTGAGAAAAATCCTGCTAAACTTCTCCAGTGTCTTTTCTAGACTGCACCCTTATTTAGAAATCTTTTTCAGTTCTGACTCCCAGACCAAAATGGAATTGTTTTCCCATTTAAAGGTCCACTAATATCTTTGATAGGATAATGTACTGAAAGGTATTTTGAGATCGTGGTTTGTCTGTCTTTCCCCACGTGCTCTGAGAGGAGCAGCATTAGAACAGAATCTGGGTGTGGAGCTCCATAACGCTGCTCCGGGTTCAGTTTTGTGATGGCCACGCAGAGCTCACTGTAGGCTCCAGGTTACAGTGGCAGGTAGTAACGTGTTAGCACCTGTTGTTCATTGTGAAATCTGAGAAAAATCCTGCTAAACTTCTCCAGTTTTTTTTCTAGACTCTACCCTTATTTAGAAATCTTTCTCAGTTCTGACTCCCAGACCAAAATGGAAGGTACTATCTTCCAGCCAGCTCAGGGGTAGGACGCCAGATCAGACCGGGGAGAAAGTCTGCTTTCCTGGGGGTTTATGCAGAGTAGGATTCCTCGGAAAATTTTAAGACTTTTTCAAAACACTCTGTTTCTCTAACTTCCTGCTCTGTGGGTCCTGGACCCTGATGAATAGAAGAATATGATAAGCATATAGTGTACAAATGCTTCATTTGTTTACAGAAACCAGCCTTGTTGAGGAGCGATTGGTTTGTTCAGTACATGTTTATTGACACCATCCATGTGCCAGATATTATTCCAGCTACTCATGTATTCCCCGGGGAAAGCCGTGACTTATGTTACTGCTAAGGAAGAGTCCTGGTTTACTTGACCTCTAACTTCACCGTAGAGCTGGCTCACTTCCTCTGGAATGCCTGGCCTGGGATGCAGAGAATGGGGGTGGGGGAGCTTCCTGACCTGTGCTTCGGGGAACCCTGAGCTCCTCGGGGGGCAGTGTCGTAGGGAAGTACTAGTAATCATGGAGGGTGGGCTCTAGCAATTTGTGTTAAAATAAGCCCCCAGGACAATATAGTCTATCTGTGCCTGCTCCACTGTCCCCCAACTCTACCTCCAATTAGAACTGCCATCATTACCCAGGCCAGTTACCACCCACTCCAATCTCTCCTCCTACACAGATAGCTCTCAAGTTTTATGTTACCCATGACTCTTGTTCCCATTCAAAGTTGTTTTTAATTTTTCTATTTTCCTGACTTCACCTGCATCAAAAGGTGTTAGGTTGGAATAAACCCACATGGGGAATATACCCACAGGAAGGATTGGGGAAATGAGTGTAGATTTGGGAGAGGGTCTTCCCCAGGAAGCAAGCTGATGGTACCCTCTGGGATGGTCACTCCTTAAATTCTCTTAAGGAGGAGGATATATCAAACCCTCCCTTGGAAAAGACTAGACCAGTGGTTCTCAACCTTCTGGCCCTTTAAATACAGTTCCTCATGTTGTGACCCAACCACAAAATTATGTTTTTTAAATATATTTTATTGATTTTTCACAGAGAGAAAGGGAGAGGGATAGAGAGTCAGAAACATCGATGAGAGAGAAGCATCGATCAGCTGCCTCCTGCACACCCCTCACTGGGGATGTGCCCGAAACCAAGGTACATGCCCCTGACAGGAATCGAACC